TTTTTTGTGAAGGGGCTATTGATTACTTTAATTGGGTATTGGAGTTACAAAGTGTTGCCTTTGAAGAAAGATGAAGAACTTGTATGGAGTGTACTGAAAGAAAATGGAGGTGACAATGAAGACATAAATGTTTGCAAGGGAATGGGAGAGGCGTATGCAGGAACAAGAGGTAGTCTGTCAAGTCCATTTTTTTCTTGTTAGATTTTTCGTCCCATAAATATGTACTTTTCCTTTTTGGTTTGCCAAAGAACCTAGGCTGCAAATGATAAGAAATCTCTAATTATAAGTGAATCCCCTGTATGTGTTTCTAAATTTTAGTATTTGTTTGCCAGGCCAACCAGTGAATTTCCCCATCCTTTATCTCGTGGAAAGCAATCAACAGGATATAGAGTGCGTTCATAAGAATCATTATCTGTTTCCTACTTTTTTTACACAATTTTTATTGTGTTTCCTCAATAATTTTTATCTTTCTTTCTTTCTTTTTTTTTTCTTTTCCTTTTTTCTTTTTAACTACAGTTATCCTATCAGATTGTTGATTCCTTGATTTGGCTTGGAATAAGAGACATGATAACGATGTTAGGAAAAAAAGTTGAAGTTACGGTCTGTCACATACTTGAGTGGATCACAGGGGTCTGAGTCTAATATCCCTCATGGATATATTTGGAGCCCACACCTTGTCCCTAAACCAAAAGGTGAAAGTTTCTCAGCATCTTCTTATTGTAGATGTTGGTCCACTGTTTTTGAATGCTACATCAACAATTGTTATTGAGGTTTTTCTAAGCCATATTTGGCCTTGCAGATTGGGGACCAAAGTTTGATGTGGTTAGGTTTTGCTTTCTTGATCTTGCAACAAATTATGAGCCGCCAGAGTCACTTTTGAACTGGCTGAAAGCTATTCCAAAGCCTATTTATATCGGATTTGGCAGCCTTGTGAGTATCCTTGACGCCCATAAATCCACAGTAGCCCCTTTGTCTCACCTCCTTGAAATTGAAAATAAATAGATAAGAGAGGAGTCTTAGTCCTGGTCCCTTGACTGATTCTGAATCGTTTCTTTCCTTTTTGTTGGTGTAAATGAAAAGTTGAAAGTTAATAAAAATAATTTTGCTTTTGAATAATCAGTAATAAATCATTTGGTTATCTCGCTAATTAATGATATATTGATCGTAGTTTGTTGCTAATTTGTTTGTATTTATTTCTGTCAAAAGCTGTTGGTGATTGGTTCTTGCTTTTATACTTTTTTACTTTCAATGTCGTCGTATTATTATCAAAGTTGCTCTTTTGGGGCACTTTGTGAGATCAGTTCTTTACAATCTTCTAGTCCTGATGCACTCCTCCCCTCTTGAAATCGAACACGACAAGCAACATTATTGTCTCGAGATTTTTGAAGTTTACAATCTTTGTTATACATGTATTTGGTTATGTTGTTTGTTACCAGGGTGGTGTCCAGAAAGTTCATTTATTGGACGACACTATAGGCGGAATCTTGCTTAAGGAATTGTTTCAGAGCGATGGAATTGGTACAATGGTGGCTAGGTCTGTACCTCTACCTCCTCATCAAATATCCCCCTCAAAGGCATTGATTCAACTATACTTCCTCAAATAGAACGCAAGTTTATGCTTTTTTTCAACCGATTTTCGCAGTGATCTTTATGAAGGAATACGCACGGCCACTATATCAGATCTCCATGGAATCCAGCAACTTTTTCTACCATTAGAGGAATTCGGCACTTTAATAAAGAGGACTGATGAAGAGGTGTCTTATAAATTTGATCTATCATGTTATTTTGACATGTATCACATATAATCCCCCGTCCCCCTTTTTGATAAATCATTTCCGGCAGTGCAGCTACTTAAAGCATTGGGTTCTTTCATAGTTGCCAAAAGAGAAGGTCAGGTCATTGCTTGTGCGGCTCTTTTTCCTCTCTTCAAAGAGAAATGTGGAGAGGTGGCTGCTATAGTTGTTTCCCCCGAATGCCGTGGTCAAGGACAGGGAGACAAATTACTTGGTATGTCAATCTCTCTCTCTCTCTCTCTCTCTCTCTCTCTCTCTTTCTCTCTGTGTGTGTGTGTGTGTGTGTGTGTGTGTGTGTATGTAAGAACCATAAATTGATTCAAGGTTCTATTAGCAAAAAAGTCAGGCAAATATTTCCACTTTGATATTTTTGTATTTAATAAAGGAAAAATAGTAGATATATTTCATAGTGCAACGTATGCTGAGTAATGTACCTATCATTTTGTGTAGAGCTTATTCTGATGCATAGATAGATTGATGTTATTTTTCGCTGTCGAACATGGTCATATTATATTGAGAAGAAGGCATCTTCGCTTGGACTGCATAAGCTTTTCTTACTGACGACACGAACGGCGGACTGGTATGTCATTATAATCCCTATCATTATATCTCATGTGGAGCATTCATTGTATTGCTCTGATCAAACATGGTCATGGTGTTTGCCTGAATTTTTCTTTACTTTTTAATCCATCATATATGCATCCGATGTTTTTTTTTCTTGTGTAATTATATTTTCCCCGTGAAATTCTTCTTTATTGTTATTATTTTCTACTTCCTCAAAATGTATGCTCGTTCCATACTTGTTATGATGTAATTTGTTCTTGCTTCTAAAAGTTTAATGCCTTCATTTTTGCAGGTTTGTTAGGCGTGGCTTCTCAGAATGTTCGATTGAGTATTTACCAGAAGAGAGGAGAAAAAAGATCAACATATCCCGTAGATCCAAGTATTACATTAAGAGACTTTTACCTGATACAAGCGGGATTCGACTGAACACGGCTCCTGTGTACTAAACATATAATACTAGCCGTTTGCACGTTGTAACACGTGTTCTCAGGACCCTGGGAAGCTTGTATAGCCCCTACAGTTATGTTCTTCACCGCGACTCTGCGAGTTTATCTGCGAGTCGCGATTATTATAATTTTTTTGTTTAAAAAAAAAACACTGAAAATGGAACAACAAAATTACATTCCAAGCAAATTGATCAATCCATAAATATGGTTATGCCTGCACTCAAATAAATGATTATCAATCCTTTACATACAACAACACCCAAATAACGTTATCGACCATCATCCTCACAATCAAATGTACTATCTTTATCCCAATCAACATGGTTTGAAAAATCACTTTCAATAGCTCGAGAAGCGGAATGTTGCACTGTATTGTTACCAAAACCAACATTTGAGTGTATTGTTACCAAAACCAACATTTGAGTTGCTTTGCCAATGTAAGTTTGCAAGATATGGATCGATAACACCATATGGATAAAACGGTTGACCTTGAGCAGCAATTAAGTTCAAAAATTCTCCTTGCCCCCCGCAAAAGAATGGAAGTTGGTTGGTGGTTGAGTAGAAAATTCACTTATTCCACGATCTTTGGCTCGCAAGGTAACATATATATTAGGTACTTGGAATAATTCGGCCAAATTGTGTAAGTCAGATTCACAAGAAATTCTCCATTTTTCCAACTCTCCATTTTCATTCGCCATCAAGAAGTGAAATCGATACTCACATGTGTGTTTGTCTCCACCAACAATGTCATTAACTCTATTTAAAAAGTCTTCATACGACAAACTCCCCAAACGCATAAAGTTCATCTCTGCTTGTCCATTTTTATAAACAATCTCATCCCAAAATTCGCTATGCACAATTCGAAATTTTTCACACATCTGAAAACCAAAGATGTAAAAGTATTTAATGACAAACAATTTCAAATAATTATTTGAGAATTAAGTAATCAATGTTTATAATAAAACAAATAAAATGTTTTATAAAATGATTTTTGAAATCACACAAATTGTTTATAAGATTCGAAAACATTTTTGGGGTGTATTTACTGTTTCTGGGATCCCATAAACCGTGTTGGGGATTCAAAACAGATTTCTGAGACAAGAAATCGATTTTTGGGACTAGAAATAGATTCCTTGTCTGGCCCACAAATCACATTTCTGGGACTAGAAACGAGATAATCTAGAAAACGATTTCTGGGTACCAGAAATCACATTTCCGACCCAAAAATTACATTTCTGACACATAAATCGATTTGTTCACATTTCTGTGTCAGAAATGTGATTCCTGGGCCAGAAATCGATTTCGTGACAAGAAATCGATTTGTTCACATTTTCGTCCCAAAAATCGATTTCTGGGTCAGAAATGTGATTTCTGGGCCAGAAATCGATTTCTTGTCTAGAAATTGAAAAATTGATTTTCTTGTCCAAAAATGTGATTTCTGGTACCAGAAATGTGATTCCTGGCCCAGAAGTCACATTTTTGGGACTAGAAACGAGATAATCCAGAAAACGATTTTTGGGTCCCAGAAATCACATTTCTGGCCCAGAAATTACATTTTTGACCCATAAATTGATTTCTGGACCGGAAATGTGATTTCTGGGCTAGAAATTAATTTCTGGACTAGAAATGAGATGATCCAGAAATCGATTTCTGGGTCAGAAATTGATTTCTGGGATAAGAAACGAGACGATCCAGAAATCGATTTTTGGGTCGGAAATGTGATTTCTGGGACAAGAAACGAGACTATCTTGAAATCAATTTCTGGGCCAAGATTCGATTTCTGGACCCAAAAATCAATTTTTGGGCCCCGAAATCATTCAATGTTCCAAGAAATTTATTCTACAATTTTTTTTTGCCATATTCATTTTATTAATTTTAATAGTATATATATGTGGCCTATTAAAAAAAGATGAATTATAACAATACCTTTACACTAGTATTCTTGAGATATCACCGGAATGTTGTCGGTATGAATATAGAGAGAATGATTTTTTTTTTGTTAAGAGAATGATTTTTTTTTTGTTGAGATTAATAAATGAAAAGAGTGAATGAAGATGTAAATGGAAGAGAGAAGAGAGATGAACTTTTTTTTAACCCAAAAAAAATTATAGTAAGGGTATTTAAGTCTTTTCATGTGACAAAATGGCTAAAAAAGATATTTTTTCAAACTATGGCTAAAATTTGTGTTAGCCATTTCAACATGGCTAATAAAAAATCATTGTTTTGATTTTCTTCTCTTTCACTCTCTCTCTCTCAACGTTTTTGCTCGTTTCAAGCAAAAAAATTCCAAAAAATTGTCATGACAACGCGGCTGCATCGGCTTCTTTCTCGGCAAGGTATTTTTTTTCTTTTCGTTTTCAAATATTATTTAGATTTTTTTTTTTTATTTTATGGGTGGGTGTTCGGCCGCTTATGGCGAATGGACATGGGCGTGACCGGACCGCCCTACCGGTCGCGCCCGGGGTCGTTCGCAATCGAGGACCGGACGACCCCCTTGGTGCTCGCAATCGGGGGCCGGACGACCCCATCGTTGCTCGCATTCCGGGACTGGACACCACCTGTAACACTCTTGTTGTTGTATGAAATTGAACAACTATGAAAAGATACGTGTACAATAATAAAATGTGTGGAATCGTATTTTTTGTATTATTATTTCGAAGTACAAGAAGTCGGTTCTTATGATAACCGAGATGAACATATGTGATTGTAGGATTTCTATTTTGCTAGGGTATTTATTACAGGAAATCCTGCTATTTATAGTTGGGAGTGCATTGACTTCCTATACGAGGTAGATAGGATCGCATTAAATGCAATCCGCTTTTTGGAGGCGGTTTATCGATTCTCGAGGATTTCGTAATGATTGCTCTTCCATTCTCGGTCCAATCATAATCGTGCTTATTCAGCAGCTTTGGAACTTGGTTAAGTCGGTTCTCGATGTAAAAGAAAAGAATTCGGAGGCCTGGAAGAAAGTTGGGAAAGGATTAATAGGAAAAAGTTAATTTGACAGCAATTTGAGGAAAATGCTAAGTCGGTTGTCAACAGAGAGGCCCCCGACATTGACAAGCATATGGCAATATAGTTGTTAAAGTCGTAAAAAATCACGAGGAGAAATCCGACTTGCAGTATCCATAATCCGAGATCTTTTAGTGATTGTGTTGTTATATGGTAATTAACAACTATGTGATAATGAAAAGTTCATCGTGTGTTCAAGATAGATTAGTGAAGAACATATGAGAGTCCAAACGAAACAGAGTTTATTGAATATTATCGTATATTTCTCGTGTCGTCCCTGGAGAATCTATTTTCTCCTTTTATACTAACTTACAACATTTATCAGAAATGTAATCATTACATTAGAAAGGTCAAAGGCGGCTAATGGCCATCTATCTTGGTAGCGTGCCACTTGGCAAGGCGTAATGATGACTTGTGCTGAGTTGGCACCGCCTCATAGTGTCGGTTTGGCAAGTCATAGATATCGACTCGATTAGTTGTAACCGATATGTTATATCCGACATGTTGTAACCGACATGTCACAACTGATATGAGATTCGGTTAGTTGATAAAGATGTCGTTTCTTGATCCATTTTCTCCCGATATGTGAATGCTTTGGGATCCTCGAAGATATTCTCCTTTTGAATGAACATAATTCCCCAATTACTAAGCATAATCGCTTGATCAACATTGCTTAACTTGGTTTACTGAAAACCATGTCAACAAGGTGGCCCCCAGCATTAATGGATGTCTTGAGAAAAGACGGGCAGTGATGCTGAAAATGCACCAGGAAACAATTAATTTCGAGCAAGTAGAACATGTCGGTTTTTGCAGTCGTCCCTCCGATGTCTCCACACTTGTCAAAAACGATGCTAAAAGTTGAAACGGCGCAATTTATTACAATTAATTGCAACGTTCGTTAATAGGGGCAACAGTTACTTTTGATTGGCCACATATCCATTGCTGAAAGGCGCGATTCTCAAAGGTCGCGTCGACTCGCGAATTAAGAAAGTTCAACCCACGCGCCCCTATTTCTCCCTTCTCCCAACGGTTATCACTAAATTTAGGGTTTAGTATAAATAGGAAATCTTCTCCCGAGATTTACTTTACTTTCGCTTTCTATCTGCAATCACATTTCTCATTTTCTTGCAATCTAATCGCTTCGCAACTGTACTCTAAGCATCTCATATCTGTGAACTTCCTCTCGTGGTAAGAATTATTTCTTTGTTTTATTTATCTACTTCTTCTTCACATCATGAGCGTATCGTGGGCATCTTCCAGCGACGACGAGTTGGATGTCATGATGATCAATATGGTCCATTCCGGGGAGATGGAATTATTGTCTGAGTATAGTCGATGGGATCCGGTGTTTGTCGAACGCTTGAATATCCGTCTAAACGACATTGAGGGGGACAAAATTGTGGAGGAAAATGCTATCGATGACCCGAGATTCTGGAGGCGACCCATTAGAAGATGGCCGGACCCCGAACTTACATCTCATGGTGAGCCGAGCATACTAACAGATGCCGATGTCATCATGCTGCGGAGCGAAATTCGAGTCCCTGCGTCGGTACATTTATTTGCACCATATCCGGGTGAAAGGATTACGTGTCCACCACCTGGATGTGTCGGCGTGTTCGCTGAGAGCTTAAGGTCAGGGCTGCGATTTACTCTGCCGCGTATAATCACCGAATACTTACGAGATTGGGAATTTCCGATATGCCAAGTTGCTCCAAATTCATGGAAGCGAATTATTGGATTACTTGTGCTTTTTGCTGAAAAGAAATGGGATCTGCCGTCGGCAAGGGACATGAGGAGCATGTTTATATTTCGGAAGAGTCCGGAAAGACAAGTATCAGATCCGCTTCTCACTTTTTCTATTGTCGGTAAACCTCAGCCAAGGGTCAAAGTTGACGAGTTGATAATGGACGTTCCCGACACATTACGCGGTTTTCAGGAAGAATGGTTGTGGGTCGGTGGGGACTGGCAGTGCACCGACTTTGCCAACG